TTTTTGTTACAATTGAGAAGAGTTCTCTCTAGGACAGTGAGAAAATAAATTTTTGCACACTGAAAAGAATGAAATTAAATTTTTTAAAAAAGTATATCATCTATAAGCTTAATTATTCCATTCTGATACCCTCATCATGCATGCCCTCCAAGTGCTTGTAGATTATTCTCCAAAAGATTTTGCATAAAGAAGAAAATAATCTTAAAGGTTAGTAGTTACTAGTAGTCTTTCAGTTACCTCTATTTGATAACAACTGGGAATTTTTCCCATACCTCTGATATCCTCTATACTTTAACTAGGGAATCAAGATCTCCATGCCCCCAAAACTGTGTTACCTCCAGTATAGACTTAAGACTTATAGTCCAGCTGTTTTTCTCATTTTGTTTTCTTCGGTGGTATTTCCACTTCCTCATGCAGCCCATCAGGCATTATAATACATTCTAGTCCAAATGTGTTGGCTCAATTTTCCTTGATGAAAAAGAGTCTGTTATATAAAGACTCTTTTTCAATTTTTCATCTATTTGTTTTTCCCTTTCAAGCCCATTCTTAAATGCTCTTAGAATAAATTTGTTTAGCTGAGTCTCCTGACAAGCTTTCTGTAAAATTGTTTTTCTCAACATTGCTTCTCAATGTTTTATAGAGCAATACTGCTCATAATCTTTGTCTTAATGCAGACTTAGGAAGGTTCAGAATGCCAAGGTCCAGTAACATGGAATAAACATGGAGCTCAAAATAAGACAGACTTAAGTAGAGCAAGCCAGCTTTATTGAGGGGAGATAATAATTGAGGGTGGTCAAGGATGAAGGACACAAGGCAGTACAATGGGATCCTGAATGGATTTAGGCAACCTGGTGGGGGCACTAAAGGGAATGGGGTTCTCCAGTTAAGATTTTGTTGGTTTTTACAAGGTTCTTATCTGGGATAGGAAGGAGAAGGCATTGGAGAAAGAGATCAAGGGGTCTGGACTTGGGGACTGGTGCTGATTCATGCTGATGGAGAAAAAAAAAGACTCCTTGGGACTTGTTGACTACTACTTGCTACTGAAAAGTTCCCCACAGGTGAGGAAGGGCCTTTGAGTTGTTACTTCTGATATTAGTCTGTCAGAGTGACTCAGGGATTTTGAGCTTCAAAACCAAGGCTTTATCATTTATGGAGTGAGGTACCAACCTCTCTCCTCTGCAATATTCCTTCTCTGTAATATTTGACAAATGAATTTATAGTCCAATCCCATGGTGTCCTTGCTTGTCATATCTCTCAGTTTGTTAAGGAGATTGAGTGTTGGCAAGCTGCAGTGGTTTCTTGACCCTTTATAGAGACTGATTTATATCGGATAAAGTTCTGTTGGAAATTGTTGTTTAGAGTCATGAGGACCAGTAATAAATTGTAATTCCAGGCCAACTGCACCCAAGAGGGTTAAATTCAAAAAACTCTGCTGGGTTTGTTAACAGAATAACCTCTGATAATCATCTAGCTTCATGGAATAATGAAGAGAAAGCTGGTCTTGGAGTGAGACATACTTGGAGTCTTTCACCAATTACAGAATAAAAGAGCAGCAACTCTTATAGAATGTTCCCTTGGGGGGAGGGGTGTTGGTGAGGTCAAAATTATTTTCACAATAACACTAAAATAATACTAAAATTTTTAAATGGTAAATAGCAATCAATATAACTTATATCAAAAAGCTATGTGGGGGGCAGCTAGGTGGCACAGTGGATAGAATACCGGCCCTGAAATCAGGAGTACCTGAGTTCAAATCCGACCTCAGACCAAACACTTGACACTTACTAGCTGTGTGACCCTGGGCAAGTCACTTAACCCCAATTGCCTCACCAAAAAAAAAAAAAAAGCTATTTGGGAGGGGGTTCACAACAATATTTCAGAGCATAAAGGAGTCCTGAGACCAAGAAGTTTGTAAGCCACTTTTATGGAGAATACTGGATTTGGGAGACAGGAAGATTTGAGTTCAAATCCTGCCTCAAACACTACCTATAAGACCCTGGATAAATTACCTAATTTCTCTGTGCCTCAGTTTCCTCATTTGCAAAATGAAGGGATTGGATTTGATAACCTGAGTATCCTTCAAGCTCTAGAGTTATGACTCTGTGACCTTAAGGTGTCTCTGGAAAAGATGTGAGAATCCACTTCCTTACATCTCCACCTAACTTTCTAAACTAAAATACCCCTTTCAGGTTATCACTGCCCTATATCTACACTTTCTACCATTAGAATGTAAGCTCTTTGAGGGAAGAAATTGTTTTCCTTTTGTATTTCTATGCCCAATGCTTAACACAGAGTACTTGCTTATTAAATGATTTTCATTCATTAATTCGTCTACCCTTTGCTGATGAGCTCCTAACTTAACTATGCCAGTTCTCAGGCAACAGACACCAATGAGCTAGTACCTGAATTTTTTTCAATTTAATAAAACCTGCCAGAGCTTGTGATCTCCTGATATGACCTTCAAGAAATCAGGGTCACTTCCAAGAAACGAAAGTATTTCTAAATTCAGGAAATCATTGATGTGGAAAGAGAGAAAGACTTTACTGACATTGTCTTGGCTTTCCTCAGTGCTCCTCCCAATACCCCTAAATCCAAACACTTGGCATTCCCCAAACAGCAAAGAAGAAATTAAGCATCCAGGAAATCTGAGTGTGCTGCAGCAGGAAACTCTGCAAAAATATCTAGGGCATCATCACATCAACAGTATTTCAAAATTCTCTGGTGATTAATATGCCTGTTATAGATGTCATTGGTTCTGATGAAGAAAATGCAAAATGTAGTACTGAAATAAATACAAATATTGGTCTATACACTCTCTCAAGTTCAGTATTACATGGACACAGATATATCAGAATTTGAGTAATGTCTCCAGAAACATAACACATCATAAAAGTTTGATATTAGCCTCTGAGGAGGGTCCTATTACCTAACACCAGACCACAGAAGGGACTGCGCTAAACAAACCTTTTTCTACCACCACCACCACCACCCCCAAGTAGAAAGTAAGTTCCTTGAGGGCAGGGACTATTTTCACATTTTGTATTTCTATCTCAAGGCTTGCACATAGTGTGTTATTCAATTGTTTCAGTCCTGCCTGAATCTTCATGACCCCATTTGAGGTTTTCTTGGTAAAGATACTGGAATGGTTTGCCGTTTCCTTCTCCAGCTCATTTTACAGATGAGGAAACTGAGGCAAACAGGGTTAAGTGATTTTCCCAGGGTCACACAGCTACTAAGTGTCTGAGGCCAGATTTGAATTCAGAAAGATGAGTCTTCCTGACTCCAGCCTTGGCACTCTATCTGATGTACCTTACTTTGGGTTGGAATTTTACACCATTCCCAGCAGTAAGCCAACTGAAGACCAATCAGAAAGCTTAAGGGTTACTACTTAAGGGTTGTACATACCAGGCTTTCCCAAAAATACTTGTTGGTTATATATGACTTCACCTCTAGAGTTAAGACTGAATATTAAAGAAAAGAATAAGGAGATAACATTCACAGACTCAGTAAGTCTGTGCATAAAACAAAGTAAGATCATACCTTGAAACTTCAGTGGGGGGGGAGAGTTTTTATATGGGTGAGTTTGATTTCAAAGGACGGTTATGAAAACTGTCTCCCCATTTTAATCAGAACCTTATAAAAAAAGAAATGCAAATACAGTGTGATCTTGAACTTCATTAATTCAAATTCATTTGGTTTAACCAATTTAAAAAACAGAGTCAATTAAAATCGTGTTTACTCAGCAGAACTAGGGGCACACAGTTGGCAATTAAAAACCTCGGGCAGGATCCTTGTGCATTTGTCACTCTTTAAAATGTTAGCATCAGAGAAGCTGCATCTTGAAGGTTCAGCCACAAACAAAAAAATGGTATATTATTCACTGGTTTCATTCTTTTCAGGGGGAATGGGCAATTATCAGTTCCACTCAGAAGACTTAGCAAATTGAGACCTAGGTTTAGACTCTAATAGTTACATCTAAAAAAAAGTCATAAATCGCACCAAACAAGGAAAACCTCTCTCTCTTTCCCCCTCCTCCCCTCTCTCTTCCCCTGCCCCCCCATCCTCTCCCCTCACCCTGTCTCCTCTAAGGAAAAGGAAAATCTCAAATAGTCTCTTATCTTACCTTATCATTTGTGTAAAAAAAAAAAAGGTTATACTTAGCACTGTTATATGACTTCTGGAGAATATTGTTACAATTCAAGTTCAAGGGCTATATTTCCTGGGTGGCCTCCATCTGGGGCCAAAGAGAATTCCCAGGCAGGCTCAAATGGAAGTATTACTTTAAAAGAGTAACTTGACAAAGGTATCCTTTAGCATAGTGATCTTTCACTTTCCCTGAGGTGCAGAGAAAAAGAAGGAAAGGAAACTGTTGGAAGGTATAGTTGAGAGGACAAGGAGGATGGGATAACTCCAATTAGCTAGGAGACAGTGAGAAGTGAGGTAAGAAAGAAGATTTGGAGTTAGAATATCCTAATTAGAATCAGATTATGTTACCTGTGTCACGTAGAGCAACGTACTTCAGCTCCCCGGACCTCAGTTTCCACGTCTGTAAAACGACTGGGCTGAACTAGACCTGCAAGGTCTCTTAACCAGTTTCTTTGCAGAAATATTTTTCTTTTTTTTAAGACATTTTCCTGAATAGAAGTTTCCCTCCCAAATTCCTACAGAGTCGATGTCCCTTTTCCCAGAAGTGAGAGAGGCAATATTGGTGTGGAATCAAATCAGCAAGCATTTATTGAACCAGGTTCTGAGCTAAGCGTTGAGAATTCAAAGAAAAAGCGAACATAATCTTTGCCCTCTAAGAGCTTACCTTCTAAGGAGAGAAGACAACATAAACCCTAGGTTCGAACTAGGCAGTGACTACCCCGGCGGTGTAAACTTTACCTTTCTAAGCCTCGGGGTTTGGACCAGATGATCTCTAAGATCTCTTCCAGCTTCTAAAGTTTTAGGAAAGAAAGAGAGCAAGACTTCCTGGGGAAAAGCCCAGGAGAGGCAGTTACCTGCAGTGTCCCAGATGGAAATGTTGTAGGACCGCCACTGCTTCAGGTAGAAGGCTCCCCCGACCGTGCTGACAGTTTCTTGGAAACGCCTTTCCATGTACCTGTGTAGCAGCGAGGTCTTGCCGACGTTCATGTCCCCTAGCAGCACAATCTTCACGTCTGGCTTCCTCATTTTCCCGAAATGAGCCCGGGACCAGCAGACGATTCTGGGAAGCTTCTGCCACCCTCTACCCCCCGGGAGTGCGACTCCCACTGGGCAGCAGCTGATCAAGAGGACCCGAAAGTCCAGTCCCGCCTCCTGGAGCAGTTCGAGCTTCTCGGGGGCAACTTTTTTCCCCCTCTGGCAGCACCCCGACTCTCTGGACGTCCCCGCCTGGGGGTAGGGGGTAGTCAAGGAGTTAGTGTCTCCCGACAGTCGCAGTCTGAGGAGTGACAAGTTCTGAGGTCCCCCTGCCTCAGCCCGGACTTTACCTCTGGGCTCCCGAGGAGGAGGAGGGTGAGGGGAGGAGGGTGAGGGGAGGACGGAAGAGGAAGCGCGTTTCCACGCAGAAAGGGGGCAGGAGCTGGGGGAGATCCAGCCCTGATACCCACGTGGGGGACCCCAATCCACCCCCACCGCGGCCCTCAGTCCCCTGACTCCTTCTCTAGTAGCTTCATCCCCTCGTCTCTTCCCTGTATTCAGCCAGAGTCCACTCCAGTCCGCCCCGGGCTGGGCTCCTCCCTCTGTCCTCTTCCCCAGCTGAAGCTACCACTGCAGCGGCCCCTGGGGACACCAGAGGGCCGCGCAATGCCCAGCTCGCCTTCAACCCCCCTACTTCCATCCCTGTCCCCAGACTCCCCCGACTCACAGACCCTCCCTTCCCACCCCCCCACCCCCCACACACCCAACCCCACGGCTGGAGTTTGCGTTCTCCAAAGATGAGTAACCTTCCTTCTTTAGTCTGACTATGCAATGACAGGAAGAGGAGAGAATCAAGATTTGGGGGGTTGGCCAGTGGCTGAGGCGAGGAGTTCAATAAAAACCTCTAAAGATCTAAATAGGGAAGATTGTAAACTGCTTGAGGGCAGCGACTCTTTGACTTTCATCTTTGCATCCCCAGCGCCTGGCAATTTGTAGATGCTATTCTTATTGATTAATTGATAGATTGATTAATTGATTTCATTGGCACAGCGGGATGGGGGGGGGGGGCCGAGAGTTTTAATTCATGCATGATTTCAACCATCCATTATTAAACCACTGATGGATGCAAATCGAGGAAAAGGGAGGTATCCCCCGGATGTCATAAAAACAGAGTAGATTCCCCCAGCACACAGAAACGGACCGCGATGGCAAGCTAATGGTTGCACTGGAAAGGCAAACTAGGATGGGTCATAATCTGAGTAGTTGGAGTGAATGCACAGATGAGTTCACAGATCCACTGGATACTGAGAATTTAAATCAAATCAAGTTAACAAGCGTTTATTAAAGGTTTACGTGTCAGACACTGAGCAAAGCACTGGGAATACAAAACAAGCTGAAAAATGAGCAGTTCCGGCCCTCAAGAAACTTGTTTTCAAATGCAAGGAGACAACACATAAAATAAAAGAAAGGTGAAAAGGGGGGAGGAGGGAGATGATGAAGGTACCAGACCTGGAGCATGATAGAAAAAGATTAGAGTCAAGTGTTCAGTCAGGAGAAGAATGAAGACCTGGCTAGCCTGGGCCTCCTTAAAAAGGAGGTTCTGAGGAAACCAGCCAATCAGAGGGAGAAATCACAGCAAGGTGGATACTTCCAGCATGTGAAGTCCAAAGGTGAACTGAGCTTCCAAGGTGAAAATGTTCCTAATGTTTGGTAGAGAAACCAGGACTATTTGAGAATGTGCAAGGCCCTCCAACGCAGTGAGACACAAGCTAAAGCCAAGTCCATGAGCAGTTAATTTAGCCTCTCCTCTCATACTGGAAAAAAAAAAATTACCCAATTGGGTTAGCAATTCAGTCCTAGCTTGTTTTGAAATTCTGTTTCCTTCTGTACTATGGAGAAATACGGGTTATAAAAGTGCATCTAAGAATCCAGAAGTATATTGTCCCCAGTGGAATGACAGAGTAAACATCCTTCTATCTTGGCCTTTTTCTGGGTTCATTTTTTCATTTTATCCCTTTGGATTCATAAAACTTACTTGTTTGGCTTATATTTTAAGCTTTTTTTGAGGGGGAGAGAGGCAGCTAGGTGGCACAGTGGATGGAGTGCTAGAACCTGGAGTCCCGTTTCTGAGTTCAGATGTGGGCTCAGATACTTGTGACCCTTGGAAAATCACTTAATCCTGTTTGCCTCAGTTTCCTCATCTGTGAAATGAGCTGGAGAAGGAAATCACAAACCCCTTCAGTATCTTTGCCAAAAGCAAAACAAAACAAAACAAAAACCCAAAATGGGGTCACAAAGAGTCAGACACAACCTAACAACAGCCAAAACTTTTTAACTTTAAATTGTGTTCTTAGGATCATAGATTTAGACCTGGAAATAACCCACAGCCCATATAATCTAGTGGTACAGGAAAGTGACATGTCTTTCCTTGGGACACATAGTATCATCAGGATGTCAGGATGATTTTTTTTTTAGTGAGGCAATTGGGGTTAAGTGACTTGCCCAGAGTCACACAACTAGTGAGTGTTATGTGCCTGAGGTCAGATTTGAACTCAGGTCCTGCTGACTCCAAGGCCAGTGCTCTATCCACTGCACCACTATACCACTATACCAAGCTATTGTATTTACCATTATTTGATTTTCCTATCATTTGAAAACATTTACCTACAAAACAGGGTCACTGTAAAAGTAATTAGTAACTGTAATGCTTATTACCATTCACATTTATATAAAGGTTTTTATGATTTACAAAGCATTATCTTCTTAGCACTGTGAAGTAGTACAAGTATTATACCCCTCTTTAATGGAAACTATTTTAGCATAAAATACTAGTATAATGGGAAAAACACTAGCATTGCAACCTTGAAGACTAATCCTAGACCTGCCCCTAGCTTTGACAAGCATTCTGGGCCTCAGTTGTAATTAATTGAACAAAAACATTTCTGAGGTTCTTTCTAGTTTCAAAAGTGCTGTAATTGTATGCTTTATTAGTATTGTAATTGTTTTTTAGAAACACTTAGAAGAAAGGAGAGACCATAAGAGAGGAACTTTCTATTTTTTTTGAAAAGATTATTTCATTTTTATGTAATACTTTATAACATCTTATCTCTGGAAAGTGATTAACCTTCATACTGACAACAACTTTAAGAGAAGGTAATTCATATTTGTTTTTGTAGAAGTGACCAGGAAACTGAATTCCTTTTATTAGGGAGCAGTTACAAAAATGTTTTTCATCCAAGTTTTCGGTAAGGGCTGATGACTTTTTGAATGAAACTCTGCCTCACTTAAACCCAATTCATGCTCAAGTCAAGACATCACTCTTGTGATATCATTGTTCTCTTTGAAAACAAAGGGCAGGAACAACAACAACATATTGAGAATAAAGATTTAGTTCAAATAACCTAACCGGCTTTTACAGCAAGTTTACAAACCCTACAGTAAAATGCTCTCAGACATAACAAGCCAAGTTCACAAGGTATTTATGAGGTGCCTATTGTATGCTGGACACTGTGACAAACACTGGGATTACAAAACAAGTCAAAAACAGCTCCTGCCTGCAGGGAGCTCACATTCTAATGGGGCAGATAACATACAAACAACTATGTTCAAACAAGATATTTACAGGATAAATTGGTGATAATCTTAGAGGGAAGGCAAATGGATTCAAGGGGATCTGGAAGGAATATTGTGATTGGAAAAGTAGGTGTTTTCTAAGGAAGCTGATGTAGGAAGGAAAACACGTTGCCTTCTTGGGCAAGTGCACTTCTCTGAGTCTTAGTTTTCTCATTTGAAAAATAGGAATACTAATTCCTGTCCCCACAAAATTGTGCTGAAATTCAAATGAGATATGTATTTGAAAGTACTTTCTATGGTGTTATAGTAAGAGCCATATGTACAAAAATATATATAGTAGCTCTTTTTGTGATAGCAAAAAACTAGAAACTAAGAGGATGACATCTATTGAATAAATTACAGTGTGAATAAATTACATCTGAATAAATTATGGTATATAAATGTCATGGAATACTATTGTGCAATAAAAAAAGTGAATGTTTTGGAGAATGCTGGGAAGACTCATATGGAACTGATGCAGAGTGAAGTAAGAAGAACCAAGAGAACAATTTAAACAATAAAAACACTATAAAGACAAAGAACTTTGAAAAACTTAAGAACTCTGATCAATGACCAACCATCATTCCAGAGGATTAACAATGAAAAATGCCACCACCACAGAGAGGTGATGTATTCAGGATGAGGAATGAGATATATTTTGGGGAATATGTATTGCTTGCATTCATATTTGTTACACAGTTTTGGTTTTGGTTTTCCAGTATGAGGGGGGAGAAACTGGAGGAAGAAAAATAGATTTTTGTTCATTAAAAAACCAAAATTTAATTTTAAAATGTTGGGGTTTATTTTTTTTAATTCTGAACTTAACAAACATCAAATAAAATTATCATTTCCACATACAAAGTAGAGCAGAATAGGATTATGTATGAAACTGTGAATTACGCAAATTTCTTTTCCTCTTAAGCAGATAATAAATTAAGCATGTAGCTTTCAAATGTGATCTACTTCTCTGTGTCTTAATCTATTTTTCCTACTATTCTCTTCTATGCATTTAAAAAAAAAAAGCACTTCAGTGAAGTCTTAGGAACTATGGTCCATACAGTAATTAATCACAATTACAAAGGACTTGTGATGAAACAGGCTACCCACCTCCTAACAAAGAGAAGGTGGACTTGGTGCAGATTGAGACCTCTGGCTAATGGGAGAATTTATTTTTCTTGACTATACGTGTTCATAACTGGCAGTTTTGTTTTTCTTACTTTCCACTGTGGAGGTGGGGGAGAAAAAGCAGATCTTCATTTGAAAAAAAAAAATACTTCTATGATCCTTTATTCTTTCCTTTCTTTTTTTTTCTTTTTTGGCAACTGTCACTAACAACTCCTAACCCAACCTTGTCCTCATTGCAAAAAGAAAAACAAAAACAAAACCTTTGCAACAAATATGCATAGTCAAGCAAAAAGTTTTCACATTCACTGTGTCCACATGTGTATGTCTCATTCTGCACCAATCTGAGTATTATTAATACCTAGGCATTTTGAGACCATAGTAAGAATGAAGATTTCTCAGTTTATTCCCTACCTTGTTCAAAGAATACAATAGATGGCTAAAAGAATATTGAACTAAGTATCAGAAGACCTGGGTTCAAGTACTATCCCTGCTACTAACTGGTTTGTCATACATAGGTGAGTCACTTACCTCTGGTCCACAGTTTCCTCCCCAATAAGTTGAGAGAACGTGAAGGTACTTACAACTCTAATGGCATGTTCATCTAAATCAAAGGTTCCCAAAGTGGCTTATACTGCCCCCTGGGGGGAGCTAGAATAATGGGGGGGGTGGTAGCCTTGGGCACAATTGAGGCACATTGAATAAAAATAAGGGGGTGCAGGAAGTATACCGAAAGAAGAGAAGAAAATTTTGAAAAACCATTCATACATGTTTATGTTGTGTAACAGAGTTAAAGTTGTAGTGATAACATTATTTTCCGAATAAACACAGAAAAATGCAAGTTATAACCTATCAGTGGGCAAGTCCACTGACAGATCTTAACAAGCAAGTGTTGGCAGGCAAAGTCCAGCATGCATCAGCAGGAAAATGTGAGTG